TATGGACAGTCAAGGGCTCTGTTTGTTTTTGAAAAACTAAACGAAACACGAGTTTGTTTTTGAAGGAAATTTGGAATGTGGTTTACAACCAAAACAAACCTGTTGTTATGACAACCTGACGCAATTGTTCTAATCGCATGCGGAATGAACATAGTTCCACCATAATTTTGCATAATTAACTTCATGAACTTCGATTATACTCGTTATCGGGTTTCTTTTTGCCTTTTCGACTTTGCGGATTTTGACGATAAGGTCGTGCAATAGATGTTACAAGTATTGTAAAATGAACTCATATAGATGATTAAGAACCCAGCACGTTTTTAAATGGCGCTTCGCAACTGAGTGTATTTACGGAAAAAAATCGACATTGGAGAAAACCTTCAGCTCGCCTGCGTGACTTGCATGGAATCTTTCATGCCTATTACTTAGAAAATCCACGAGAAGAATTATCTATAATACGCTTTTTATGGCCTTAAAGACTTTGTATTTGCAGTCATTTATTTCTATTTTGGCGGCCATCATACTCTGCTGGACAGAGGTTACTTCTGCGAGTGGTAAGTGGTGAAAAATACACACCGTACACTTTTATATTTACATTGTTAGAACTCTTCCTATATTTCATATTACAGCTGTATAAGTTTAATACTATGCCAAGGGTTTTTCGGACGAGATATTTGCTTATTTTTGCGGTTTTAGATCCCTGTGACTGTTCGGTTTGCGGTACAACATGCAGGGGGAGTTTGAGCTGCGATCCTGGCAAACTTCTGGTCAATGGAAGTGAATTCGGCTGTTTTCAATGTCCTCCTGGTCATTAGTAAGTTTCCTCTAGTCTTCTTTTCTTTTCTTAGACTTCAGAGACAGGTTTACATGCTTATGCGGGTTTCATTTCACGTAGAAACAGTATTCTAATATGCGACCGTCTCGTGTATAGTGTTGCTGATATTAGTGGTGTAATCTGTACCGTAAAATATAGTCTAGGCACTACATGACAAAATGACTCTTGTATTATGCACTTCATAATATGTTGTGTCATGCAAAATTTTGTGTCTGGCATGAGTTGTTAGAGACAAATGCTTTCTTTTAGAGAATTATTCCTTAATGCAATTTCAGATATTAATCTGATGGCACCTAATGATAAGTATTTCTGGTTTTTACGAGGGGCTACAATAGCGTTAAAACTGACTGATAGTAGAACTGAGTAGAGTCCAGTTCAGTATGTAATCATTTGAATCTCAATTGTTAACCAAGAGTTTGATTACAGACAGAATTTGAGGACACAAAGTTCTGATAACAATCAATCAAAACTGGAAAAAATCTGCAAAACAAAATACCCACCAATTTAATCACAAGTAAAAAATGTAATGCCTTAAGTTGACTTTTCTCCAAGGAAAATAAACCAAATTGTCAAACTAAAAGTGTGTACTGTCCAGTAACATAGACATGACACATAAGCTGTCCCATGACACAGTTACACAATTTGGTTTCATGACAGATATCTTCCTGCTCTTAATGGCTTTTCAGGGTCCTAGCTAATCAGGAATTTGTGAAAAAGGGTTATTGTTATAGTAAATACAACATGATGCTCCAACTGGCTTGTACAATAATTTGCTTTAAATTCTAGCTGCCCAGGAGGTCAGAACACTTCTCAACCATGTCCTGAAGGTTACTACAATGACCTACCAGAACGGTCAGATATAGCAGCATGCAAGGTAACTTTGTGGATTTATATTTAAAGTGTGCCAAGAGAGTGCCAATTTTTATTAACTCCAGGTTTTACTTGGCTACACTGTTATATTGGTTAGGTACTCTCCTTGTGCATTCTAGTAGATAAATCTCAAATACTGACTAATTTGAAAAATTAACCCATTAAATTCCATGAGTGACTGCAAAAGAATTCTTCTTTACAATATCACTATAAGATCAAGTAGGGAAGTGATAAAAATAAAGGAAAGTGTCACTTAGGGGATTGTTCATTGATCCAATATCAAATTCTTCAAACTGACATCATAATAACTATATAACAGATCGTATAGAGAAATTATGTAATAAAGAGATCTTTGTAGTGAAAGTGTTAATAGCCCTTCTTTTTCTCTTAAAACCAGCAACAAATCGGGTTATAAGCCACTGAGATTATAATTTCTATAATTTATTTAACTAGGAATGTCCTGCTGGATTTTTCTGTGCTGATGGTAGCCAACCACCAAAGCCTTGTGAATCAGGTTACTATAGCAATGGTACAGGACAAACAAAATGTGTTATCTGCCCTGAAGGATTCCAATGTGAGAACCTTGCATCTAAACCAACACCATGCTCAGAAGGTTATTATAGTGCAGAGGGTAATAAAACATGTACAGTATGTCCAGAAGGTTATGAATGTCCAAATGGTGCATCGCCCAGAGTATGTCCTGAGGGACACTATGCACCTCTTGGTTCCACAGAATGCAAGGCTTGTCCTACGGGTCATAAGTGTCCTCGTAAAGGAATGTCTGCTCCTGAGACTTGTCCAGATGGACAATACACAAACCAGACACTACAATTGACATGTCATACATGTGAATCTGGTCGTGAGTGTCGAAATGGTGATCGATCTGAACCATGTCCTGCTGGTTACTTCAGTAAGTATGGACAGTCAACTTGCTTGGCATGTGAGTCAGGAAACTACAGTTACAGTGGATCATCTGTATGTCTGCCATGTCCAGCTGGAAAACAGTGTCTGGATCCAGCCGTTGAGCCAGTGAGCTGCACTCTTGGTACCTTTTCTGGTCAAGGAGAAGGTGTTTGTAGGCAGTGTCCACAAGGTTGGTCTTGTTTTTTTTTTTACATACCGAGCTTAAGGCAGATTAAAAGAACACTTAGTCTACTTGTGTATACATTATTTTGGAAAGTGTTACTTAAATAGGGAATTGGCAACAGCAGTGCCAAGAAGGTTCAGCTGATTCTTTGAACATTCAAGTTTTGTAATTTTCAGCTGAAATAATTTAAAAAAAAAACTATTATTCAACCTCTTTATTTTTTCTTGTATCACTTGTCGCAAGCTTTCTAATGCAACAATAGAATCAGGCAGGCTAACAAACAAAACACTGTAAAAGAAATTATGATGGTAATATTGATATTATTATTCTTGATATTATAATTATAATTATGAATGAAAACTACAGGTTACCAAAGTACACCAAGCAGGACCTCTTGTGTTCCTTGTGCTGCAGGTTTCTACTGTCCTGACCCTAGGTTGGTTATGCCTTGCATCTTTGTAGAATTTTGAGTAGTCAAGTTGTATAATTATTTAAGAGCGAGTTCTACTTTAAATCCACGCAAAAAGCTGTTTTTCTTTCATGCATGATTTAAGAATTATTATTTCAAATATTTGACACTTTGGCTAGTATTTCACACCCTGAGCCAGTTAGTGTAATTAACTAATAGGGACACAAGTCATGTAAGGTTTCAAAGAAAGAAAGTGACACTGTTTTTATCTGCTAAGGAGCTTTTAAAATCAATCAAACACTCAGTTCAGTTGTTTAGACTTAAAAGCCAGTACTTGGTAATCAAATTTAGAATGCACTTTTATCATCTATAACTTTGATTAATTTTGTCATAATCATGCCATAATTATATTTAATTATATTGGTAATCAAATTTAGAATGCACTTTTGTCATCTATAACTTAGATTAATTTTTGTCATAATCATGTGATAATTATATTTTAGGGGATCATTGAGATGGAAAACCACTTTAATTGATTTTATATCTTAAATGTTAACAGTGTTAGTCTCAGATGAAAGACATAATTTATTCTTAATTAGTAGCAACCCACCAGTTCCCTGCCCTGTTGGAATGTATTCCCAGGGAGGAAGATTTGACAACTGCACAGCATGCCCAGCTGGCAGTGCATGTCCTGATCCTGCTGGTAGTCCTGTGGCTTGTACTGGTGGTAAGATGCAAAGTCAATTAACATTAAATGCAGTAATTAAATCACACTTGATATGTGAAACCAGCTGTTTTTTTGTTTTTTTTTTTTTTATGGTGTTTATTTGGCTGTTTTTAATGATGAAAATAAAACAATAAGAAGACAGTTAAGGAAAGTTTTACAAGAAGTTTACTGACCTCAACCCTTTATACCAAAACACCGTAGTGTATATTCTCCATACTGTTCTCTATACATTTGCTATGGTATTGACAGGGAGAATTTGTTTAACAATCAAGAACTTCCAGAGTGGTTGGTCATTTCTTGTATTCTCATATCCAAAATGTCTGATTCAGTAGAGATGATGCATGGAGATATTAGATGCTTATCACTCCAAAGGGTGGGAAGGTTCTCAGTAAACACTACTCTACCATAAGACAGTGATATCAGAAATAAATGCACGAGAATGTGCTATTGACTTCTTGTAAGCATGTGATAAAGAATTTATGTCAGGATGTTGTAGACAGGTTAAATGATTATAGTAATTTGCAATCATCATTTCAGCAACATATGCTGAAGCACTGTCCACAACATGCAAGACCTGTCCAGCTGGCTACAGCTGCCCAGAGAAAAAGAGAACAGAAATATGTCCATTTGATGACATACTGGGATACTTCTACAGCACTGACTCAAGTAAGATGACAATTTTTTCCCCTCTATATATGTTTGAAAAGAAAAAACAGTAAATAAAAGAAATATTTTCCATTGACTGTTATGAGTTCAACAGTTTTTAAAAGCCTGCAATTAATAGCCTATCATGTCGTAATATGGAATTATCTTGACCCTTAGAAGAATTGCAAAACAGAGTGACCATTGTTTATCAAAAACCAAATCTTCAATTCTGAAAATTAAACTCCTTGGTCAATGTTTTTTACTGATCACTCTAAATAAGTGTAAGCCATGTTTAATTGTTATTTTTTAGTGGTATCATGTGCACAGTGTCCCAATGCAAGTACAGGGCAAATCTGTGAATCCCGATACAAGCTACCAGTCAGTTGTTATTCAGGAGAAATCCCCAGCAACAATGGAACAGTATGTATCAGATGTCGCCCAGGTTACTTTTGTCGTTCACCGCAAGAGGGAGAAGTGGCCTGTGATCCGGGACAGTGGTCACTTGGTGGAGCCACAGCATGTCGAGATTGTGTACCAGGCTATGAATGCCCTGACAGTGGCTCATTGCCACAGGCTTGTGCCCTTGGACACTACACAGATAAGTCTAAGTCTGTGAGTTGTAAGCAGTGTGAAGCTGGGTTTAAATGTCCAACAACCAGTGGTCCTCCTGAGGCATGTGCAGCAGGTATGACTATTACCAGAACTGCTAAAAGATTTGGTGGCATTAGCTTTTTTTTTGTAGATATGATCATCATATTAAGACATAACTGGAAATCATCATCTTAAGAAGTTTACTCACCAAGCATCTGTTTATTTTGTAACAGAACTGATTTTTCACACAGAAAAGTCAGAAATAGTTGTATCCTTTTGCTACAGTAGTGCAAAAGGCTCCCTTTATTAACAAGTTGCTCCATATTTATTTTCAGGTACATTTAGTGCTGTAGCAGCCACAGCCTGTACAGCTTGTCCTCCTGGTTATGCATGTCCAAACACATCAGACTCCACAGCCAAACATGCATGTACACCAGGGACATATTCTGTTGGTAGTAGCACTCTCTGCACATCGTGCAGGGCAGGATTCTTTTGTCCTCAAACAGAGTAAGTTACTACATTTACTTCTATCCTTATGTATAATTATTTTCTTATGTATTATTGTGTGATTTGTTGTGTGATTTAGGACTAAAAAGCTGGCAGTCTTTTTTTTACTGATGCATAGGGTAAGGGTTCAACTTAGGGTGCCTAAGTTGATATCTGAGCTTAATAAGCAGTTATCAGTAACTAACAATGCATATGATTTCATTCTCAGACTGTTAAAATCTCTCGATGGAGCTCAAATGAAAATTATACTTTTTTTAAAGAAGTTTTGTTATTCTATAGTTTTCAATTGCTCTGTTAAGATGCGGCACATTGTACTTCCCTTCAATGGTGATTTCTCTGTAAACTGTCTCACAATTTGTATCCATTTTAAATCTGTTACACTGATACATTCTGACAGAGGTCTTCATTCAATTTTCATGAATTCCAGCAAAAACATTGAGCTTGCGTGTGAACCTGGTTATTACTCAGGAGCAGGAAATGAGTCATGTACGGCATGTCCACCTGGTTATAAATGTCCCAATAAAGACGGCAGCACAAACCAACCCTGCCTGGATGGAGAATTTTCCATAGGAGGGCAGACATCATGCACAGTATGCCCAAAAGGTTATGCTTGTCCAAATACAACCACAGATTACATGATCAAATGTGAACCTGGGTTTTACGCAACCAGTAAGAAGACAGTATGCACACCTTGTAAGGCAGGATAGTAAGTATTTTTTGCAAATAAAAGATTTTATTTTTTCTAAGAGGGCATGGCAACAAATTCTCCAATTTTTTTGGTTCTTGTTGCAGTCAAGATTTTCCTGTCTCTGCTCGCAGGGATGGTAATGCCTACATGACATTTCTGAGTTTTTTAAAATTTATATTCTGGTGGCTAGGTAGTATTTTCAAGCTTAGATCTCAATCATGATCTTTAGCCAATAAAGTTATTGTGAGTGAAACTGTGAACATTACTATGGTAAAGGTTCCTAATAAAATGTTTACCTGTCATAGGCACATATTAAGTGGCCCTACAAAGCATTAGATTTCATTTTATAGCTAATTGTTATTTTCCAGCTATTGTCCATATACTGATAAAAAACAAGAGATTCCATGTGATCTTGGCTATTATTCAACTGGGAATGCATCTTCCTGTGAAATGTGCCGTCCTGGTTACGCATGTCCAGTCCAAGATCAAGATGTCAGGTACAAAGAAAAAATTTTATTCTCGTGCCTCTCAAGTAATTCAGTCTGTTTGGCTGCATTCATTTTTCTGTTTTGCTGGTTTCACTACTCTCTGTCTTCTGTCTTTTTTTTCAAATAATGTTGTTTGTTGATCATTGTGTTATCGACAAGGTTCACCTCATAACAACGAAGAAAACAGTAGTCACACACTCTGACTCTTTGTTCATGACAGGAACCTATGTCCAAATGGAACATATTCTCTGGGAGCTCAGATTGAGTGTACGCCCTGTCTCCCAGGAAGCAAGTGCCCATCAATATCAGAAGGTCCCACTATTTGCCAACAAGGATACTTCAGTGAAAGAAATGCAAAGGAGTGCAAGCTGTGTGAGGCTGGCAAACAATGCGCTGATCCGGCTGGTAAGTGCATTAAAAATTTTTCAAGATGAAAATATTTAGGTGCATGTTGGTCTCCTTTACCAAACAACACTTGTTTACAGGATATTAAGCTCTTTCTGTACTTACAGCTCCTGAATCTTGTCCTCCTGGGTATTACTCGCGTTCTGGTTGGATACATTGTCTTCCATGCAAAAGAGGTTTCCAGTGCAAAGAAGGTTCAACCACAGACAGTCCACCTGAAGGTTAGTAGAACACACATGTGCAATTTGAATTTAAAACCAAAGGCTCTATGCTTAGAAAACTCAGATCAGTTTGAAAATGGCAACAGGATTGATGACAGGGTGTGTGGTTTACAAACCCTTCACTGACTGGAAGATTAAAATTAAGTGGATGTAGATGATGCAGTAATTGCAAGTCAGTTCCGATACATTAGACTTTTTGAAACCTTGAATTAAAATCTCATCCTGTATTTCATTCTTTTCGTCACAGCATTTCCCTGGTGTTAGCATTTTATGTAATGGCAAGTGTTTTGGTAAATTAACCAGAAAGTATGAGCATATCAATAGATTAAATATTAGGTTTTTGCCATTTTCCTTTCCTAACTAGGCTCTTTCTCTCCTTTATAGACGCGTGTCCAAAGGGTGGATGGTGTGATGGCCGCACTCTTTATCCATGTCCACCTGGGACATACAATCAGTTTAACGGTTCACAATCTCAGGAGGCATGCAAAGTGTGTCCTATGGGTCATTTCTGTCAGAACAGTGGTACAGTTGATTACCAACCATTTCTTTGTCCAGAAGGCCATTACTGCCCCATGGGAACAAAATTCCCCCATCAGTTTCCTTGCCCAGCTGGTACGTACAACCCAATTGCCAATCAGACATCAAGATCATTCGCTTGCTTGCCTTGTCCTGCTGGCAGCTACTGTGTGGCAGGATCCAGTCAGCCCACCAGCTGTCCTCCTGGATACTATTGTCCAACTGGAACTGGTGCAAGAACACAATTTGCCTGTCATGCTGGATTTTACAATGATCAAACTGGCCTGAAGAATTACACAGAGTGTAAGCCTTGCCCTCCAGGGTCATACTGCCCAGATGGCTCACTAACTGAGCCCACAGTTTCACCAATTCCTTGTCCAGCAGGGACATACAATCCTGAGTGGAAGGTGGGGCACTTACTGAACTGTATTCCATGCACTGCAGGTTACTTCTGTCCTCAGGCAGGACAGACAAATGCCACCTTATACTGCTATGAAGGTTATTATTGTCCAAATGGTACAGTGGCAGGTAATCAGTTTCCTTGTCCCCCTGGAACATATGGAGACAAAGCAGGTCTGACTCTGGGAGAGGAGTGCCTAACATGCCCACCAGGAAGGTCATGTGGCTGGGGAACGGGTCTAAACAATAATAACACTTGGCAAGTTTGTCGTCAAGGACATTTTTGTCCAGCAGGTGGGTGTGAAAATTGTGTGGTGGACGGGGTGGGTTAGGGCAGGATACTTTCATTTGCTTGAAAACTATTGCAAAGGTTCAGTTTAACTGAGGAAATGTTATCATTGTTTACTTTTACTATCATTGTTCAACATTCACACCAAGTGTTGATGTCAGAATGTGGCGAAAATACTTTCACTTTAAGAAGAATATTTTATACAATTTATGAAAATTCACAACTCACCTTGATGAACTTATTTCTACCTTAAAACAGGCACAGGATCACCAACCAAGTATCCTTGCCCTCCTGGAACGTACTCAAACAGTTCTGAATTGTTTGATGCATCCCAGTGTGACATCTGTCCTGAAAGAAAGTATTGTCCAGGTGGTGAACCAGCACCCAGAGGTGACTGTCCACCCGGTTATTACTGTCCAGAAGGCACACGAGTGGCAGAACAATTTCCATGTCCTAATGGAACATATAATCCTGACTATGCCAAAGCAAGAGTTGATGAGTGTCGTAACTGTACACAAGGCCATTTCTGTGAGTTGGCTACAGTTCAACCAGTGCCATGTTCTATTGGTAAGTAAAGGTAACTCATAGGAGCAACAACAGTGTACTGTCAGCCATCATTTGGAGAAATAATGATTATCTTTACCTGGAACTAGAATATGTTTGTGAGAATCTGGGATTGTAGCTGCCTGGCATGACAACGCCCTTGGGTTTAGTTTGTTGTTGGGTCCTTTCCTTGATCTACAGCTGTAAGGGTTTTTCAGCTTTATCCTGTTTTTTTTTTTCTCTCCACAAATACTGAATTTCTGAATTTCTGAATTTCATTTGACCTTGTACATTTGAAGATATCTGTACAGAATTTCTCTCATTAAGTGTAAAACATGAAAACCTAATGGCAATCCAGTGAAATATTATGTATATGCAGTCATTATTAGGCTCCTTTACAGGGTAATAATTCCCAGAAAATGTATGATATAACTTCAAATGATGTGGACATTTCTTTTAAAGGGACATATATGCCATTTGGATTCAAAGCAACAAGTTGAGAGGTGGTAGGAACCCCAGCAAAAGGGAAAGGAGACTGTCTTGCTTGTCTTGCCGGACATTTTTGTCTGAATGGTACTGTTGTACCAGAACCTTGTGGAAAAGGCAAATACACAAATCCAGGACAATCAGTTTGTCAGACATGTTTGGCTGGTCGCTTCTGTGATAGTGAAACCACAACTGAAACAAGCATGAACACAACCAAACTTTGTCCAGCTGGAAAGTATTGTAGAGCAGGACTGACAGATGTTGGTGATGCCACTGATTGCCAAAGAGCACATTACTGTCCTGAAGGTTAGACACAATTTTTATTTTCAGTTCTTGATATATTGCAATTGGTTGTCATGGATGCAATTTTGTGCCCATATTGGCATCCTAAATATTTATACAATTTTTCTCTACTTTACATATTCAGGTCACCCTGTTGAAATTCCTTGCCCTGTTGGTACATTTAACCGAGATACCAAGGGAGGAAATATATCTGCCTGTAGAATGTGTACTGCAGGGAAATACTGTCTTGAGAAATCCATAGATGAGACAGGTGACTGCAGTCCTGGCTTCTATTGTCCAACCAACATCACAGATGGAGTCTCGAGTTTACGTATTGGCTCATATGGTCCTATACAGGAACCTTGTCCAAAGGGTACTTTCTTTAATGAGTCAGGAGGGAGGTTCGTAGAGGATTGTCGAGAGTGGACTATAGGTCATTACTGTCCAACAGGATCTCAGACACCCACAATTTGTAAAACTGGTCACTACTGTCCACCTGGGTCAGGTGACCCTCAACCTTGTCCCGTGGGAACATTTAATAATCAGAGTGGAGCTTACTATTTGGAGAACTGCACAGACTGTACACCTGGCTGGTAAGTTACACAGCATTTGTCAATTGGGAGCTTTAGCAACGACGACGGCGACAGCAACGAAAACATCGTGTCAAAATCTAACTTTTCGTTTTTGTAACTCTTTCGAGATTATTCGGATGTGTTTCATTTGGAAAATTCTGGGGAACTATTCAGGGACTATATCACTATGAAAGGCGTTAAAGTAAGGAAAAAGAAAGAAAAATTAACCGTCATGCGCTCACGTTCTCGAGAAAACCTAAAATTTGGTAATTTCACGTTGCTGTTTTGCTGAGAACGGCAAAGAAATGTACCAAAATGTTAAACGCACGTGCAGGGTGATTGCTTTTGCTCATTAAGCCTATTGTTTTCTGCCATTGCTGCTCTCGTTGCTAAAGCTCCCTAATATGGTAGACTGACTGCCTCAACCCAGTCCTTTATTGCAAACTCAACAAAACCATACACAAACATCTTGTATTACATACTTGTCAGGATGATGATTTGAGCCGGTGGGTGAGAAAGGATCAGGTATGACAAACATCTGTCAAAGGTCACATGACCCATACCCACCCCTCAGCTGTGTCTGAGATAATCAGTCTCCACTTGGTTGGTTTTACTTAATGGGAATAACCTTTTTTTTTTCTGTAATATGTCAGCTAAACCTGCATCTCAGACCAATTAGAAAAGAAGTTAAGAGTGCAGAAATGGGCACATGTTTTTGTACATTACAGGTGAACATTTTAATTTGCATGCATCAGGCTGATTATTATGTATATATGGTTATCAAATAGGTACTGTGATGCTCAAGGACTCTCCATTCCAAGAGCGCAGTGTGACCCAGGTTATGTGTGTTATGGTGGAGCGTATACTGGAACTCCCAATGATGGAAAAACAGGGAGACCTTGTCCCCAAGGGACTTTCTGTGTTGCCGGCTCTTTTGAATTTGATTCTTGTCGTGTTGGAACATACAGTAAGAGCACTGGTGGAACAAGTGACCAAGACTGTCAGTTGTGTGATCCTGGATACTTCTGTTCCAAGAAGCAACTAACAGCTCCGGAGGGACCATGTGATCCTGGTTATTATTGTCCAGAGGGGTCCATCTTGAGCAATCAAACAATCACTCCACCTGGATTTTTCACTCCAGCAGGATCATCAGAGCCACAGCCCTGTCTACCAGGAACATATCAACCACATGAAAAACAAAGTAATTGTCTTCCTTGTGAGCCAGGATTTTACTGCCCCACAAAGAGCATGGTCAATGGTACGGAATGTGAACGAGGTTTCTACTGTCCACCTGGCACAGACAGACCATTTGCATGTCCTGAAGGGACATTTAACAATTACACTCGTCAAGTGTACAACTCAAGCTGCGAACCATGTCCACCAGGAAAATACTGTAATCCAACAGCACAGAGTTTCCCCACAGGTACACTATGTAGAGTACTTGTTCTGTCCACTGGTTTCAAACATATATGGAATTGTAAAGCCATGGGATTGTATTAGAAGTAAAAAGAAAGACCTACATGACCATATAGGAGTGGTTAATAAAGCGAAAACATCTTGGACAAATTTGCTGCTTTAGATTAAGATAGTTATTTGAAATGTCGTAATTCGAAAACCTTTCTGCAGTGGGGGGTTTGTATGCACTAGCAGGTGAGCTGGTGGGATTTTTACATTATAGTCATAAATACTGTAGATCTGTATGAAATGTAAGTTGTACATAAGTAGGAATTAAAAGAAAAATACTCCTTGTATAGATTGTTGGGTCACACTTAAAACATGAGTCCAGGCTAGACTTTTGAGATCTCTATCCTCTGCTTGATAATCGGGTGGATAAATTCAATTGTCATTGGCCTTAAATTGATTTTATTCCTTTTAATTTATTAGGCCCTTGCGATGCAGGATACATTTGTTTCTACAATGGAACAAGGCCAACGCCCACATTTGAAGAAGGTGTTTTGGATTGGGGAAGGGTGTGTTCAGCTGGTAAATACTGTCCAAGTGGAACAACGGATGAGATACCATGCCCAGAAGGAACATATCGGTGAGCTTCTTGCAGCATTCCATTATATTGGTCAATTATTAAACAAACTGAAAAAAAAAGCCTCACATAAAAGAAAGGGTTTTGTAAACTTTAACTTGTTCTTTTCATATTTGGGTTCTGTACATTGAAGGTTTGTAGGTACTCAGATCATAGTGTCTGTGACAATTTAAAGTCCCTTAGTTGGTGATAAGTGTTCCTGTGTTCAGAAAAATACATTAATTTCATACTTGTTGTTCTGGTATTCAAATCAATCTCACCTCCTTTGTTTGTTTTCAGTAAGGTAACCCGTGGTGAATCTGTGGGTAATTGTGAACCTTGTGATCTGGGACATTACTGTAATGGTACAGGACGTACCAATGTAGCTGGTCTCTGTGATCCTGGTTATTTTTGTTTGCGTGGGGCTAAAATACCCAAGCCAAACAATGATTCTACTGGTGGAATTTGCCCAAGAGGAAGTTCTTGCTTAGCTGGACAGCAACCAGAAAAGTGTCAGCCAGGTACTACAATTTGCTTCCAATGTCCAGTCAACTGATTAAGGAACTCCATGGCATAATATGAGAGTACTGAAAGCTTTCTTTGTGTTGAGTATATTGTTAGTTTACCAAAGGAAAGTAATCAAGGAATGTTTATATTGCTTATCTGCAGGCTTTCATGCTCCCATTGAAGGAAAAGAGGTATGCCAAGTATGTGAGGCAGGTACCGAGTGCCTTATAGGAACAATTGACCCTCCGCCTTGTCCTCAAGGCTATTTTTGCGTACAAGGAACAACAGCCAAACAGGCGTGCCCCATTGGTACATTTGGTAATAGAACAGGGCTGAAGGAAAGGTCTGAGTGCACATACTGCTTGGCTGGCCAGTACTGCGAGACTGAGGCATTGAAGGATGTAACTGGTCCATGTGATCCAGGGTACTTTTGCTTTAAAGGTGCCAAGGTATCAACACCCCCAGATGACCCAGACAATGATCCTTTTTGGTTTGGTGAATGTCCTGAGGGAGGTTATTACTGTGAGAGAGGTGTCTCCCAACCTACACCCTGTCCACCCGGAAGGTTTGCACCTGGTAATGTTGGCAGATTAAAGTCAGTAGATGAATGCACCCTGTGTACTGCTGGCTCTTACTGTGCAGTGGGACATCAAGATCATGTGAATGGTACTTGTGATCCTGGCTTCTTTTGTCTTGAGGGATCCCCAACTCCGAGACCTAATACAACATATGGTGGAATCTGTCCTCCTGGGTTCCACTGCCCTGCTGGGTCAGCTTTTCCACAGCCATGTGATCCAGGGACTTATAACAATGCAAGTGGTCAAGCATCGTGTCAGACATGTCCAGGAGGCTTTTATTGCAGTGGAAATACAACAAGTCCCGAAGAGTGCCCATCTGGCTTTTACTGCCCACCACAAACAAGTTATGCTACTGACAACCCATGCTCTGAAGGAACATTTAACAACTTGACAGGCATGTCCTCTGTCAGTGCTTGTGTACAATGCACAGCTGGATATTACTGCAACAGGCAAGGTTAGTTAACTGAGGGAGTTGGTAATAAATGTGAAAATTTTGTATCTGCTTACTGCAACAGGCAAGGTTAGTTAACTAGGGGAGTTGGTAATAAATGTGAAAATTTTGTATCTGCAATCAGTTACTTATGGTTTTCAATTATATATAAGCTGACAGTACATTAATAACATACTGTTATAAAACCATAGAAATAGTAAAATGGCTTTTGCATGTCCGAAGGTCTTTCTGATGTTACTGGTCCATGTGATGCTGGATACTACTGCAGTGGAGGTGCAACAGCAGCAAAACCTGTCGCCAATGGGGGCAAGTGCCTTAATGGAACATACTGTCCAGAAGGAAGTTCTCAACCTCTCCAGTGCCCTGCTAAAAAATATTGTGGTGGTGAAGCTTTGCCAGCACCTTCAGGTCACTGAGCAGCTGGTTATTACTGTGTGGGAGGCTCCAAAACAGACAGACCAACAGATGGGGCCACTGGTTCTGAATGTCCGGAGGGTTCATACTGTATTGAAGGCAGTGCCACACCAGCACCATGTCCTAATGGTACCTACTCTAATACTACTAAGAATGAAAAGGTAGAGGACTGTGTTGACTGCACCAGTGGTTTTTACTGTGAAGGAAATGGAAATAAAGAACCCACTGACCAGTGTGATCCTGGATATTACTGTCCTCCTGGACAGAGAGTGAAAAATCCAAATGGATTTGAGTGTACTCTTGGCCACTTCTGCCTAAGAGGTTCAAAAGAACCTCAAAGATGTCAGTCTGGATTTTACCAGGACAGCAGAAATCAGTCATCTTGTAAGGTATGTTACAATCTAGGTTCATTTGTTTTTCTCTAGGTTAACTGCAGCTTTAACTCTTCAAAATAAATTTCATTGAACCTGTCAAAGGGTAACTAAAAGAAGTCTCCATTGATGGAATAGGTCACTATTGAACTGATTGAAATGTATTGTAAGATTCTGTGGAACAAATGTGAAAGAGGCACTAAAATATAGCAAGTCTGGAAAAAAAGCACAAATGGTTTTGATGGTTAAATTTCTCAGTACATGATAGCAGTTGTGATTTTTTCATCCTGGCTGATTTTCTATTTGACTTAAGGTTTGTCCAGAAGGATTCTATTGTGACAACCGCTATGCCCCTGTGGTTCTGTACCAAAACAGCACCTGTCCTCCAGGGTATTTTTGTCCTATTGCCACCACTCACGCTTATGAGTTTCCCTGTCCACTTGGAACATTTAGCAATACTTCTGGTCTCTCTCATGTTGATGAATGCAGTCCATGTCCAGGTGGCTACTATTGCGATGAACTAGGACAGACAACATATACAAAGCAATGTGATGGAGGTTTGTAAAAACCAATTTTCAACTCATGAAAAGCTATCATAGCCCTTCTAGTAAGATCTCCTCAGTGGCCATCAAATTTGTTCTTTGTTTGAGGATATGAAAACAAGAGATACACAAGAAAATTGGACAAAAATGCTCACATACTGGGCCCCTAATCAGCTGCTACATTTCCCTCATTTAAAGGTGGAAAGTATTGACATAAGTTTCTTTCATTCATAGGGTATTTCTGCCGTAGTGGTGCATCTGTGTCAAGCCCGGAAGGTCTCTCTGTAAATGCAACTTTGTGTCCCCCTGGTACCTTCAACTACACAGATGCTGGCCCATGTCCAGCTGGTTTTTACTGCCCCATTGGTACTGCAGAGCCTGAGAAGTGTCCTCCTGGAACCTTCAGCAATGAAACCAAATTGTCATCAGTGGAACAGTGCAAAAACTGTACACCTGGATACTACTGTGAGAACTTCAATTTGGTGGAGCCTGAAGGACCGTGTTTAGAAGGGTACTACTGCCCATCAGGGGCATCAAAGCGAAACATGATTGAGTGCCCTGCTGGTGCATATTGCATAGAGGGTACTTATGAGCCAGAATTGTGTCCAAATGGAACATTCAGAAACTTCACAAAGGGAACGTCCATTAATGATTGTTATAACTGCACCCCAGGGTATTATTGCCAAGGTGTTGGACTAACAAAAGAGACTGGTGCTTGTGCAGAAAGGTATTCTTTTTTAGTTGTCTTTGGACTGTTTGGTTGACCTATGCAATGGGTAAATGTAATGTGTTGGTCATATTTTTGTAGGTATTACTGTCCTGGAGGGAACAAGGTGAAAGATCCACACCATTTTTTCTGCCCAGTAGGCCACTTCTGTCCAGGAGGGACATCTGAACCCATCCCATGCCAAAATAACAGCTTTGCCAAATCAACACATGCCAAGGAATGCTCTCTGTGCCCTGCAGGATTCTTTTGTAAAGTAGCTGGTGTTCCTAAGAACTGCACAAAAGGCTTCTACTGCCCTTATGGAACTGGTATTGACTTGAAACCATGTCCCAAAGGAACCTATGGTGATCAGGAGGGATTGGAGAAAGTCTCTCAATGTAGGGTCTGTGACCCAGGAAAGTACTGTGGGTATGAACATGCCACAAATTACACTGGTGACTGTGCACCTGGGCACTGGTGTGCTTATGGCCTTGACAGGCCTGATCCCATCGGGGACAACATTACAGCATACAATGCCAGTACAAATTACTCTTGTCCACATTTTGATGGCAGAGAAACAGGCTATGGAGGTATATGTCCAATTGGTCACTTCTGTCCTCAAGGATCACAAGCACCACTCCCTTGTCCACCAGGAACTTATGGACATCTTCCCAAGCTTGCCAAGTGTTTAACCTGTCTAGAAGGCTATTACTGCCCAGGAAATAACTCTGAATTTGAGTCTCGCCCATGTCCAGAAGGATACTTCTGTCCAAATGGAACATCATATTCTAACCAATTCCCCTGTCCAGCTGGAACATACAATAACAGAACCCAGGGTACTAAGATAGAGGACTGTGTCAGTTGCAGACCTGGCATGTATTGTCCAGTGGAAGGTATGTTTGTAACAAAAACTGACCTGCCATCAGATATATTACTCAACATTGTACATAATTAAAATGCACTTCATGATTTATGATGTCAAAAAATACAAGAAACTTTCTGAAAGTGTCACTAAGGATCAGAAAATGGTTAGAAAGTTGGACAGATTTCACAGCAGGGGTCATCCTCCCCTAGCTGTGCAAGGGGAGGACCAGGCCACACTCAATGCTGTGCGCGACTGCATACATGACTTTAGGAACTGGATGATTGAAGACCGACTGATGTTAAATGATGATAACACTGAACTAATGCTTATAGGTACCAGGAAACAGATAGAAAAAATTTGGATCTATCAACAAAACTGAAGTGGTGAATTGGCCACCGTAACGATTCCAAAAGCTGACGCTTCGAGCGTTAGCCCTTCGTCATTAGCCCTTTCGCTCCGACGAAGGGTTACCGCTCGAAACGTCAGCTTTTGTAATCGTTGCAGTGGCCAATTTACCATTTCAACTTTGTTGATATATCCAAATTGTTTCGTTACCCCCACCGACGCAGCCCCAAACAGTTTCTTTCGAAACTATCAGCCTTTATTCAACAGATAGAAAAAGTCAACTTGAATGATATTACTGTAGGTGATGCAGTCATAGAGGCGAAATCAGTTGCGCGAAATCTTGGTCGTGGTTTGATCGTAATCTGGATATGTCATTCCACATAAGTAAACAATGCACCTCGGCATTCTATCATTTGCATAATATAAGTCGGATCTGTAGGTTGTTGAGTACAGATTCCACTAAAGCCCTCATTCGTGCAGTTGTTACCTCGCACGTAGATTATTGCAATAGTCTTTAATATGGCTTGCCAGCTTCTCACCTGGATAAGATTCAACTCATTTTAAATGCCGCAGTAAGACTAGTTTGTTGTGCACCACGCTACTGTCGCATAGTGCTGTTGCTATACGAGCTGCACTGGCTACTGGTTAGGCAACGCATTAGTTTTAAGATTCTGCTATTTGTTTTTAAGGCCATCCATGGAATTGCACTGGTCAACATATTTAAGATAACTTGTGTCATTTAAAAGACCAGGAAATTATAAAATAATTAAGATCCTCCTTGGATGGTTTGTTGCTTGCAACACCAACTTATAGAAGTAGGGTATCATTAGGAGACAGATCATTCCAGGTTGCAGCTTGGGCACTTTGGAATGCATTACCGCATGTGATTCGTTCTATTGCAGATATAAGGATTTTTTTAGTGCCACCTGAAAACGCAACTCTTTAAGGAAGCTTTTCATTAATTTTTATTAAAATCTCATCATGATAGTTGCTAGTATCTTAACATATGCTGTATGCTTTAATTTTATCGTAGTGTATATTTAATGACTATTACTGAATAATGCACACTTGATCATTTCATGGAAAGCACGCAATATAAGAATTAAATTATTACATATGATGCACGATCCTTGCAGTAGATAGCGCTATTTAAGCAATAGCGAAAATCAGACCTGAAAAAAATCAGGCCTGTACAGGATTCGAACCACTGACCTCTGCGATACTAGTGCAGTGCTCTTACCAATTGAGCTAACAAGCCAACTGGGAGCAGGCTGTTAAGTTGATTTAAGAATTTAATTATTATTATTATT